GGGGAATTCTGGGAGTTGGAGTCCACTCATCTTAAAGTGGCCAAGTTTGGACAACACTGATTTATGCAGTCCCCACTCTGGCCCTGTATAATCGAGCCCTTAAAACCTGGCTCTGTCCCCAGGCCTTGGATTAGAAGGGGTGAGAGATTCTGGTTAACTGTGAGATATTCCTTGCTGATTGTTTCTGGACTTTCTTTTGGATGATATTGTCTGAGTTTTTTTACTATTTTTTACTGTTGCTTTGGGTAAGCTGCCCAGAATCGTACAGTTTGGGGCAGCCTATACATTTAATCAAATAAATAAATAAAACCTAGCTCTAATTCAGCTGTTAAATGAACTGGCTGACACTGGCTTCTAGAGCAACCCTCAGGTTTGTTTTAGTGTTTTGTTAAGAGTTTTCTCATTTTTGGCTGTGCGGCTAAACCAGGCAAATGCTAAACAGTCAATTGTGCTGTGCCTTAATATTGTTATTTCATGGAAAATTCTCGCAGATAAAAATACTATTAGCTAAAACCTAGTTATATGAAACCAAGCATAAGGTGGGTTATGACTTAGCCATGAGTATAGATGTTCTTATGAAAATGTTGTCTACTTTACTGTTGGAATTTAGTGCAGAAGCCTGCCCTATTTTACATTAAATAGCCCTTTGATACTTTTGCAAATCGTTTTTGAAGCTAGACCATGTAAGCTTACTTGGGGGTGGGGGAGGTAATAACAAACCTCTTCAGTTCTCATCACAATACCAAAGAGGGATATAAACTGGATAATAACAATAATAATGGTGGCAATAAAAATGATAATAATATACATTCTTGCATAAGGTTTGGGGTACAAATATGACAGACCAGCTATATTAGTACTACAAATCAGAAAGATCAAAACTGAAAAACAGCAAGGAAACGGTTTCAGGAAAGCTGCATTGTTGTTCTGACCCCGATCAAAGGAGCAGGCAAGTCTTAAGAGTGGTAGAGGGTTGCAGTCAAACCTTATGAACATGAGGTCATATGAAGTGGCCTGTTTCTTCCAATGAAACCCAAATTGAATTCTGACCTAAGGACTGAAGGATTTGATCCCACTAACTTTTAAGCAGTATTAAGCAGTATTCCTAACAGTATTAGGAATTCTCAAGAATTGTATCCCATATGCATGTTACAAGGTGGAAACGCAGGGGAGAGATAATGACAATCTAAGAGTACTGCTGATTCCAGGTTTAATTCATAATGTTATTATGGACTCATCCACTTCTTCTACACATCAATGTGCTTCTTCATTGTTTAAAAACAACAGCACATTGTGCACTTCACTACTCCTCACCCTGTCTACAAGATAGTTTTCCCCGCCTTTAACCATTAAGAAAGCAAATGGCATGGGGGATTTACAGCTGCCTTTTAGAGGCTGGACCTGCTGAAGTGGAAGCCGGCATTAAACAGTCTGAGATCTGTTTCTTATTGCTAAGCTGTGATTAAGAAAGTAGTCCTGAACAGATTCCCCAGTATCTGGTCGAAGGGAACTCTCACATAAAAGGATGCTGTAGATTAGTAAATGAAAAGTATTAACAACAGTATTCCCACCACATTATCCTGCTTCAGGATAAATGATTTTATGCAAAGTGTGGAAAAAGAGTATGAAGTATTAAGCAAAAGAAATTAAAGGGTAGACATAAGGAAAAAAAAAGGAAATACAGCTAACACTAGTTTCATAGAATCATAGAGCTGAGCTGATTCAACCTCCATCTAGAATTATTTTACCCCACTCTCTTTCAAAAATCTGAGAGTGTTTATTGCACATAGCGTGGTTTAGAGCAGGGTTCCTCAACCTCAGCAGCTTTAAGATGGGTGGACTTCAACTCCCAGAAT